GCCCACCCGCCCCGAGTCCCCTACTCTGTTCTCTCTTCTGCCTCCAAGCCTGAGGTCTGTAAGCCGCCCCTTCTCTTGATCTCCCCGCGCACCTCCCATCCCTGAAGAGGTTTCCTTCCACCCCACTCTTTCCTTTTTGAGGGCCCACCCCTTTTCCCATGGTGGAGGTGGGGGCAGCAGCTCTAACCCTTTCCGGGTTGAGTCTTTCCAGCCTTTTTGAGGCCCACACACTAATGAGGAGGGGGGCTGAGTGCAGCATACCTTCAGCATCCACCCTGAAGCGTTAAGACCCTCAGGTGTCCCTATTGGTGCCCTGGGCTCCCCAGGATCATCCTCCCCAGCAACGGAATGGAGCCAGGACGCTTCAGGATGTTGGCTGTGGACTCTGGGAGTGAGTTAATGTCCCCCAAGCCTGGCCCTCTTTGGGGGTTCTCTTATCGAGGGAAATCCGATAAGACCCACTGTGGTTGGATTTCTGAGCTGCACTGCCTGAGTTGGTGGTCCAGCTCTGCCACATCCTTGACTGTGTGACCTTGGGCATGTAACGGTCTCTGAGCATGTTTCTTCATCTGTAAAATGGAGATAGTGCCACCTCCGCCATAACGTTACTGTGAAAATAAAGTAAATCTCAGATTTTGTAGTGCCTGGCATGTTGTACATGCTCTGTGAAGAGAACTCTTGTATCAGTAGTATGAAGGTATGCTGCCCAGAAGCAGACAACTGGGCATTCAGGGTAGAGGCAGGGCTCACCTACCATAGATAAGGAACAAGGGCTGAGATGCCCTATGGCATATGTTAACAGGACCTGGCACAGTGAGAGATATTTGGAGAGACAGTAATCTTCCACCTTGGTGTGGTTCATCAGCAACCTGTCCTTACTCCCTTTGTGAGAGCAACCATTGGGGCCCCTGCCTAGGGATGGAAATCTGCACTGGGGTGCCCCAGAGCCCTGGAGCTATAGGAGCAGCTGAGCCCAGGGCTTTCAGACAGTTCTGTGGAGGGGACTAGGCCAGCAGGCCTGAACTTGTGTATATGGGTCCCTGGGGCCCCCCTTCCTCCTGTCTGAGCTAGGCAGCAGCCATTCCTGGCTGGGCCCCCAGAGTGCTGTGCAGACATAGGTGCAGGGAGGTGGCCAATTGCGCTGTAATTTGCAACAGTAGCACTTAGGATTCAGCTTCTCTCTGGGACTGGAGGTCAGGATGGACCTGTGTGGGTCCTGGGTAGCTAACTTGAGGGGTTTATTTTGTCAAGAAGGAGGCTTCCAGGTGAAGCTACAGCATGTGTCTCTTAATTTGGAGGAAACAGTGTTTAGATTGAGGTGACTGTAGGGGATGGGTAAGGGAAAGGGTTTTACAGGAGCCCTTTCTGTGCAGGATTTGAGAAAAGGCTCCCCACCCCCAGCAGCCATAATCACTTGGGCCTGAGGTTTGCTGTTCCTGGATTACCAGGTCCTAAATCCAGCTTAGGAAGCTATTTGTGGCTATGTTCTAAGCACTCATCCACTCTGCCCCTTACTGTGGCCTGACCTTGGGGTCTAGGCCTCATGCTTCTCTGGTGGAAGGGGTGGGATTGGCTGTGATGTCGTGAGCCCAAGCAGGCCCTCTTAGAATTGAGGGACTGACTGACTTGCCTTAGGCAAGAAGCTGTTTCCAGTAAGAGGATAGGCTCCCAAAGGTGGGAATGAGAGAGGGGAGGGTCTTACAGAGCCAACCCTGCCCCTTCCTCTTCCAAGCCCTACAGTTCTTTCTATAGATTTGGACCACTGTTTATTTTAAGTGAAAAGAAGTTGTGTACAGGGTGAGGTTGGGGCTGCACACTTCCAGCTTAACTCCTTTCTCCTCTAGGAGGCCTGGTAGACAGGCTAGGACTCAGGACCCATTCCAAGCCTTACTTAGATTCTGCCCCAAGAAACAGAGGGCTGTTAGGGGAGCTTCCTGGAGGAAGCACCAGGCTTGAGGATGAGGTTAGCCCGAGGAAGAGAAGAGAGAATAACTATATTCACTTCCTCTTCCTACCACAGAGGAATTGGAGGTGGCTCAGGGGCCTGGTAGATGACTTCTGGGGCTCTCTAGGTCACCAGGAGAGGATGTGATCTCATCTAGGCTGACAGCACTGGGGAGCCTCCTACTGTCCTCTTCATCTTCTTACTTCACACCAGGGCCTCCTTGAGCATTTGCAACTTGTTTTTGAGCAACTCATAGTTGCTTCTGAAGAGGAGTGAATACAGGGGCATGTCAGGCCCCTGTATTCCTCTGCTTCCTTAGGCAGGGCCTCTACTGTTTCTGGTTCTTCTGAGCCTAAGGACTCCCCTTACCCCATCCATACTCTTGATGTATCTGCTGCTCTTGTCACTCTCTTTCTGGTTTAGCCCGTTTGATTCTCTTTGGGTTGAAGAAGTACTTTCTCCCTGGAGATGGCTTAGAGCCAAGCTTGGCTAGATGACCTCTGAGGAGTTCCTTCTGTGTGCTAAGACTTCCTCCCACTTGGAGATCAACAGAGGATCTTTTGAGCAAAGTCGGGTCCTTTCCTCCCGATATCAGCTCTGAGCTCCAATCAGCAGAGCTTCCGCTAAGCTGCTTAAGGGCCCTGGGCTTGCGTAAGCTGCTTACAGGGAAAGGAGAGGCTGGGGGCAGGGGGAGCAGGGAAGAACGTGTCCATCTGCCTCAGCACCATCCATGTCTAGAAGAGTCCTCTCCAGATTACCCTTGCCCAACACCATGTGGATGTGGTGTCGGAGGTGGCTCTGGGGTAGGGGTGGGGGGTGTCCTCCAAGGAAAAGTTGTCACCACCCCTTTTTGCAGTGATGTTTCCAAAGGCAGGTTTGTATCTTTTTCATTCTGGAGATCCCCCCGCCCCACCACCTATTTGGTTTAAGGAAACTAAGAAGAGATGGGAAAAAGTGCCTGAAACTCCAGGGTAGGAAGCAAATTGTGGGGGAAGTGGTCTTGTCCTCCACCTGGCTCTGTCCTCCTCTTATCTGACCCTGCTGAGCCACTAGAATGGGGTGGTTTATTCCTTCCCCAGTACACTCCTGTGATGAGATGTATCTTTTCCACTGTGGGAGCTTCTCCAGGACAGGACCTCAATGACTGTAGGTATCAAACAAAGCAGTGGCTGGTCCAGGATCCCACCAAGACTGAACTAACCCCAGAGGCTTTGGAGTCTTCCTTGCTCAGCTGCCTGTCTCCTCTAGATTACCTGTGCTCCCCCGAGGAGAATATCTACAAGATCGACTTCGTCAGGTTCAAAATCCGGGACATGGACTCAGGCACTGTCCTCTTTGAAATCAAGAAGCCCCCTGCCTCAGGTGAGCAGGCTGGGTGAACCCGTGACAGAATGAGGTGTGCAAGCTCTGTGAAGTGGGTCTGCCCAGGGGCCCTGTCATGCCAGGAGGAAGTCAGAGCTGGACAGGCAGCAAGGCCTCTTTTCCTTCTATCTGTTTCTAAGGGTGGACATCTTGGGAGGGCAGCCCTGTCCCTTTAGTCCTTGCCAGCCTGGCCTCTGCAGGCCTTGCCTGGAACTGCAGTCCCAGAGGCCCTGTGGTGCCTGTGTGTATCTTGTGGTCCTGGGAATCTCAGTAGAAATTGGTGGCTTGCTGCACTAGATGCCACTATTCAGCTAAAGTTCTGAAGCCCATATGCACATCAGAATCTCCTGGGGGGGAACTCAGGGTGGGCAGGGGCCCCAGTCTGAAGCCCACTGAGCCCAGCTGGGGTACATTGCAGAGCGGTTGCCCATCAACCGGCGGGACCTGGACCCCAATGCCGGGCGCTTTGTCCGCTACCAGTTTACACCTGCCTTCCTCCGCCTGAGGCAGGTGGGAGCCACGTGAGTCATGGGCTGGGGTAAGGGCTGGGGGGGTGAGTTGAGGGTGGGAGCTTCCCTTCCAGAGTTCCTCCTGAAACCTCTCAGGGGTGCTCTGCTCAAAAACCTGGCTGGCCAGCCAATCAAGGCCAAGCTCATGGGTCCCTTCTCTGGCTTAGGGTGGAGTTCACAGTGGGTGACAAGCCAGTCAACAACTTCCGGATGATTGAGAGGCACTACTTCCGCAACCAGCTGCTGAAGAGCTTTGACTTCCACTTTGGCTTCTGCATTCCCAGTAGCAAGAACACCTGCGAACACATCTACGACTTTCCCCCTCTCTCTGAGGAGCTGAGTGCGTGCATGGGGCCCTAGGGGAGCAGGGCAAGGCCAGGGCGGTGGGGAGGAGATGCAGAGACCCAGTTTGGGGAGTGTGCTTGTAGGTCAGACCCCTTTCTTTCCACGCTGGGTCTTTTTTTCTTTTTTGGGTCCGGTCGTGGGGCCTGAACTCTGGGCCTAGGTGCTGTCCTTCAGCTCTTCAGCTCAAGGCTAGCCCTCTACCACTTGACTCACAGCGCCACTTCCGGGTTTTTTCTTTTTGCTTATGTGGTGCTGAGGAATCGAACCCAGGGCCTCAGGCATGCAAGGCAAGCGCTCTACCACTGAGCCACCTTCCCAGCCCTCATTTTTTTTTTTTTAAACCAATCATAGGGCTTGGAACTCAGGGCCTACTTAGGCACTGGCCCTGAGCCTTTTTCACTCAGGGCTAGTCCTCTACTACTTTGAGCCACAGTGCTACTTCTGGTTTTCTGGTGGTTAATTGAAGATAGGAGTCTCACTGACTTTCCTGCCTGGGGTTTAGAACTACGCTCCTCAGCTCTCAGCCTCCTCAATAGTTAGGATTACAGGCGTGAGCCACCAGCACCCGGCTTTCTGGGTCACTTTTGTGTTTGGCAACATTCCCATGTCATCAGAGATGCTGAGGACCCTGTTGTTGTCCCTTGGTCCTGAAGTCCCTGTTATGGCCTGGTTCCTGACCTTTGTCTTGGATGGATCTTTCTTACAGTCAGCGAGATGATACGTCACCCCTATGAGACACAGTCTGACAGCTTCTACTTCGTGGATGACCGGCTGGTGATGCACAATAAAGCAGACTATTCCTACAGTGGGACACCCTGACACTCACCCCTCCCCCCCCTCAAGCCACCCCTTACCCAGGAGACTCTAGCCTGGGTCCTGCACTGTGACTTTTCCAGCATCGTCTCTTAATTCCAGGTCTTCTACTCGGGGATCCTCCAGGAGCCCTGGACCCCGAGTCAGTGTTGGTAGGAGGGGTCTCTGTCATCCCCAGGCGGAGTCCCTGAAGCCCATGGGGAGAGGTAATAGGGGAGCTATCCATGTCCAGGAAGGTCTCCTGTGAGAGTTCAGCCAGGACTAATGGAAAGCCCAGCTCCACCCTCTTGGGCCTAAGTTTCAGAATAGTGTCCCTCTCTAGGCTGCAGCTAGGTTAGTTCAGGAAACCTGTTTCCTGTCTTCAGGAATCCTGAATCCAGCCCTCCACTTCCAGGCCATATAGAGTGGTAAATTCACAAAAATCCACAGAGGGTCAGGACCCTGGCACCAACCCTGGCTTCCCCTGTCAGGGGCTAAGACACTGCCTGAGGCCTGGGAGGTATTGGTCCAGATTATAGCGTGGACCAACTGTATATAGTTTTCAATAAACTTTCTCCTTTTCTGTTCCTAGGTGTGCTGGCTTGTGTGTGGGGGCAAAGGTAGGGGTAGGGTAGGGAGGGGTACTGGCAAGTGATGATGTGCTTATGTTAGTCACTGTGACAAAATACTTGTAAGAATTAAAGGAGAAAAGATTTATTTATTGATCCAGTCCTGGATTTGACGCTGGGCTTGGGCACTGTGCCTGAGCTCCTTTTGCTCAAGTCTAGCACTCTACCACTTGAGCCACAGTGCCATTTCTGGCTTTTTTTTTTTTTGTATTAACTGGAGGAGATAAGAATCTCATGGATTTTTCTGCTCAAGCTGGCTTCAAACTGTGATCCTCAGATCTCAGCCTCTTGAGTAGCTAGGATTACAGGTGTGAGCCACCAATGCCCAGCAGAGGAAGGATTTATTTTATTTTTGTGCCAGTACCAGGGGCTTGAATTCAGGGCCTTGTGTTCTTGCTGGCACTTAACCTTTTGAGCCACACTTTCAGTCTGGCTAATTGGAGATGGAATCTCATGGACTTTTTTTTCCCCAGGCTGGCTTCATGAACTGTGATCCTCCAGGTTTCAGTTTTTCTCTCCCTCCCTCCCTCCCTTCCTCTCTTCCTTCCCTCTCCCTCTCCCTCTCCTTACTCCCCCCTCTGGTATCAGGGCTCGAACTCAGGGACTAGGCACTATTCCTGAACTTTTTAGCTCAATGCTAGTACTCTTATCACTGGAACCATACCTCCACTTCCAGCTTTTTAGAAGTTTACTAGAGATAAGAGTCACAGACTTTCCTTCCCTGGGCTGGCTTTGAACCACATCCTCAGATCTCAGCCTCCTGAGTAGCTAGGATTACAGGCATGAGCCATCAGTGCCTGACACTGTATGTGCTTTTTTCTCCTAGAGGTGTGACATCCTTCTGGTTGATTTGCAGGCACCTCAGGTCTACTATTTCTCCAGGACTGATGCTGAGTGCCACTGTCCAGCCTCTTCTTGGGAGATGTAGTTTAGGAGCCTTCTCATGCACATATTGGTCATTCTGCAAGCCTTTCCTGTGTATTTGACAGAAAGTACTATGCTAGGAAGAGCACTGACAGCTGAGGAATTCTGGCATGGATGTGTCTTGAGAGGCCTTCTCCAAGGAGATAGCATTTATCTTGTGTTTTGAAGGGTACGTAGTGTAGGAATTAGAATCTTTTCTGACAAAGTAGATTTAAACTCAAATGGGAATGAAATCTTGAAATTTGGTTATTTACAGTGAACGAGTCTTAACAAGTTCGTTGAATCATTGTTGCATAGAAAAAGTTTGTTTCTCTCCCTGCCTTTCCACTTGATACCAGTATTTTATTTTTATCTAAATTCAAAGGTTTTATAAAATTCAATTCAAAACACAAATTTTAAGAGGAGGAAATCAGTACGTAGAAAAGATATGGCAAGGTATAAGGACAGGTTTCTCTCGTTACATAAAAGCTAGTTAAAATTAGCCTGGGGAGGGGCTGGGAAGGTGGCTTAGTGGTAAAGCGCTTGCCTTGCATGCATGAGGCCCTGGGTTTGGTTCCTCAGCACCACATAAGCAAAAAGAAAAAAGCTGGAAGTGGCTCAAGTGGTAGAGTGCTAACCTTGAGCTGAGGAGCTGAAGGACAGCGCCCAGGCCCAGAGTTCAGGCCCTATGACCAGACAATAAATAAAAATAAAATAACAAAAAAAGAAAAAAAATTAGCCTGGGAGGGCTAGGGGAGAGAAAATGGAAAAGAAGGAATGATCTAATACCTCAGATGACTGTATTAACCCATCCAAATTCTTTCTTTATTTTTTTTTGCCAGTCCTGTGGGGCTTGAACTCAGGGCCTGGACACTGTTCCTAAGCTACTTTTGTTTAAGGCTAACATTCTACCACTTGAGCCACAGTGCCACTTCTGGCCTTTTCTATGTATGTGGTACTGAGGAATTGAACCCAGGACTTCATGCATGGAAGACAAGCACTCTACCACAAAGTCACATTCTTAAATTCCAAATTCTTCTTCTTCTTGTTTTTTTTTTTTTTTTTGCTTATGTGGTGCTGAGGAATCAAACCCAGGGCCTCATGCATGCAAGGCAAGCACTCTACCACTGAGCCACCTTCCCAGCCCCAAATTCCAAATTCTTAAAGCGTGGACAATCCACAAGTCCTATCAAGCATGACTGTCTGAACTAGATAGAATGCCAGACCAAGGTCAGACTAGACCTATGAGAAACCTCCTTTGACACAGGTGGTAAAGTTTTTTTTTTTGGGTCCAGTCGTGGGGCCTGAACTCTGGGCCTAGGCACTGTCCCTCAGCCCTTCAGCTCAAGGCTAGCACTCTACCACTTGAGCCACAGCGCCACTTCCGGCTTTTTTCTTTTTGCTTATGTGGTGCTGAGGAATCAAACCCAGGGCCTCATGCATGCAAGGCAAGCGCTCTACCACTGAGCCACCTTCCCAGCCCCATGATAAAGTTTTTGTAGATGATTCTTCACATGTAATTGAGGGGGGAAAATAAACAATGGATTTTTGGTAATAGATGGGATGCACCTCAGGTTGGGTTCTGTTGTTTAAAAAGTGTTGACAATTGCTGGATGCCAGTAGCTCATGCCTGAATCCTAGCTACTCAAGAGGCTGAGATCTGAGGATCAAGGTTTGAAGCCAGTCTGGGCAGGAAAATCCATGAGACTTTGATCTCCAATTAACTCTCCAAAAGCTGGAAGTAGAGCGCTGGAAATAGAGCTGTGGCCCAAGTGGTAGAATGCTAGCCTTGAGCAAAAAAAGCTCAGGAACTTTCTAGGCCTGTCATGCATGCACGCATGTGCACACACACTTACATCCACATCCACACACACAAAGTGTTGACTGATCTCTCAGCAGGTGCACCTGCATTGATTTCTTACTTGATAATTGCTCACCTCAAACTTGCCAACTATTAACAAGTAAGATTTGGACACCAAACAGCGAAGGGAAAGGCAGGGTCCACAACAAGCTTATTTAATCCTGGAAAGTTGCCTGAAGGACTATGTGCTTTGTCTTTCCTCTACTTTTCTTCCTCTTAGGAAGGTTTTTGGGCTCAAACCACTCCTCCTTATGTTTCCAGCTCCTCCTCACCAACCTGGAGACTCACGTCCTGATAAAAATCTGGAAGGAAAATAAACTCACTTGTACCCAGGAAGGAATCAAGTTCTGCTCCCAATGGGACAGCTGTTCCAGCTGTGGAATGAGGTTTGGCTCACTATACCTGAGTCCAGGTTGCTCTGGTTTCCTATCAGAAGGAACAATGGGCAGCAGTCTAAAGCTTTCTAAAGGGGTTCTGGTTAAACTTCATAATGCCCAGGTGATAGTTTATCTTGGCGCCAAAGTCTGGAGAGACCCTATAGTAATAAGGAATTGGGGCCTTAGTCTCAGGAGTTGACCCCATGGATAGACTGAAAACTTAAATAATGAATCCTCCCACTCCAATGGATCCTTGTATGAGTATAATGCTTATCTATGAAAGAGAAAAATGTGAGATGAGATAAGGCAAGGCTTTGGTTCACTTGGCCATCTTTTTCTTTTTCTTTTTTTCTTTGTCGGCCGTGGGGCTTGAACTCTGGGCCTGGGCGCTGGCCCTCAGCTCTTCAGCTCAAGGCGAGCACTCTACCACTTGAGCTACAGCGCCACTTCCGGTTTTCTGGTGGTTTATTGGAGATCGGAGTCTCACGGTCTCTCCTGCCCGGGCTGGCTTTGAACCGAGATCCTCAGATCTCAGCCTCCTGAGTAGCTAGGATTACAGGCGTGAGCCACCAGCGCCTGGCTTGGCCATCTTTTTCATCCTGGCATTTTGTTGATCTGACCAGTCTGAAACTCCTGGGGTAATCCAGATGAGGAGAAACCTCATCCCTAAAGTCATTTGACCCTCATATTTGCCCAAGGAGTTCCCAATGAGTTTAAACTAGAAATCAGCAGCAGATTCTCAGTCAGTTCTATCCCGGTGGATCACTATGAATTTAAACATACATTGGATTAATTATAAGGGCCTTAGAAGGATTGACCACTCTAGCAAACGATTTAGCTGAAAATTCATGGCTAGATGACCAAGGCAAAGGCCAAGACCAGTGCCAGACAAAAATCTCCCACCTACGGATACAAGTGACATCAATAGTACTTGGCAAATTGATGTTTCTTGTGAATTTGTTATTCAAAAAGTTCTGACTTGGTACAAACACACAAACATGTCCACCTATGTTTCTGACATGTCAGGATAGAGCTGGAATGTTCTTTGCTCATGGCAGCTTGGAGAAGACTCAATCATTGCAGGATAGTAGGCATTCCAACCTCCCCTGATGTCAGTATTGCCAGTTGAGAACCCCATAACCTCAGCTTCTACCGTGGCTTTGGCAATCACTTCGTGGTCAGTTTAAGTGAAGATCACATCAGGGGAATTGTGCTGAGCTGCAGCTCTGAAGTTGCAGTCAGGAGTTTTTTACCTGTAGATTCATGACACATGCCTTCTATGGTCTACTGATGGGTAGGTAGGTGTCACTATACCCCAGTGTTAGGTGCTCCTCCTTTTATATGGTCCAAGTGAGGTTACTGCATCATTCCTTGGTCTGATGTGTTGGATAAGCTCATGCCTTGTCTAATATGAGTTTGATATGTCTACCTGTCCATGTGTTCCTGATTTAATAAGGTAAGTTCATAGATGGTAATTTGTGTGTGTGTGTGGGGGGGGAGTCATTTGCAGCTGAGGCTGCCCAGGTGGTCAAGTGTAGGGTTAAAAGTCTGCCCAAAAGCCAGAGGGAGGAGGAGGGACTTCCAGTGGTATCAGAAGGATGACACCTTGCCCCCATGATAGACAATCTTCAGGCAGCTTCAAGAAGTGAGCTGAAAATAAAGGCTTCAGGACTCTTTCCCCACAACCCCCCAATCACAATACTTTCAGTAAAAATTTTACCATTAAAAAAAAAAGCTGGGCACTGGTGGCTCATGCCTGTAATCCTAGCTACTCAGGAGGCTGAGATCTGAGGATCACGGTTCAAAGTC